GCTAACATAGTTCAATGGTCTGCGATAGTTTCTATTATAAGATCAGCTTGTCTGCTATTAAAGGTACGTAAAAAATATATATTTCTAATGCGATATTTAGGTTGCATTGAAGAAATCGCTTGTTAGCGATAAGGCCGCCCGTTGCCTTATAACTGATGTAACCTGCTTTTTTTATATGTATGTTTTTGTATAAGGTAACGAAGTTTAAATAAATACATAAATATTTGATTTACAATCCGCTACCGTTTATTCCCAGGGCTTGATTAGGTTTCTCTTTAGCTAACGAAACTGTTTGCGGTAGGTATTATTATATATAACAGCCTTTATGATTGCTTGTTGTATATATATGGACCTCCGATAAAAGATAGATGTAGATATACTTGACATAATCTAATTCCGAAGTGTGGATTGACTGACACATGGCAATCAATGCTATTTATTAAAAACATTTTTTTTTTTTTTTTTTTTGTTTTATTTTTTTTTTTTTTTTTTTTTTTTTTTTTTTTTTTTTTTTTTTTTTTTTTTTTTTTTCTTTTTCCCCCCCCGAAAGACATTTTAAAGGTCAATAAAGTCTAGGCCCAAAGATAGTAAAGTACAGTAGGAGTAGTACAAGTTGGAGAGTGAAATATTGAGGAATGATGTCGGATTTTTCAATGATTACCTTAAGTGTAAGTAATAGTTATATAAAAAGAGAAATTGACTGCTCTACCAGGTCTGACGGTACGAACTACGAATACTTTTTTTCGTTTGCTTACACAAGCATATATGTTGCGTCGTAAAGTCCACTAATCCCATTATTAAAGGCTATCCCAATGGGTTACAGACTCGTTCTGACACGCACGCATTCTATTTAGTTGATACCTTCAAATCAAGCGATCAGCGTTCTGTGCCTGCCGACTCGAATCAATTAAGGTTTCGCCGGGAATGGATACTGCGAGTGTTGGGCTAGTGACTTCTACCTGCTACTCTCATTCCTGAGGTCGTAGCTTCCATCCCCGACTGCACCAACGACCTTTGTTGTGCCATGTTTTTCCGCAACTCTATTTTATACGATGAATTAAAACATCGTGAGAAAACCGATCGACGGCGTGTCAGATACAGGGGGTTGACCACCTACTTACTTACCTATTGAAAAAAAGATTAAATATGATCACGAAACTAATACATACAGTTTGAGGCCCAGACCTAAAGGGCAATATAGCCACTGGATTTTTTTGGGAATGGAACCTCTAATATGTATAGTAGTAGGTGATTTTTCTCAATTATGAGGTCTTTTAAAAGAAATGGATTGTTCGAAGTAATTTCCAAAATAAAACATTTCAACTCATGGAACATTAAACTGCGAATATTATGTCCGATACACTGACTGCTATTTGTTATATTCGTGTTTTGTTAAAAATGCGCACTCCATCAACTCCATACAAAACCAGTTGAATAGGTCTCGAATTTAATATGCGAAATAAAAAACAAACCAATTTATACGTTCGACCTCCCTTTCATAAACAATTGTTGAAATATTATCGTTCGTAACCAGGCGCCTCCCATTCATACATACACTCGCGTGCATTTAATTCAGGACACCATTTTTCTATCTAACCGATCGAAAAGCAATGACAATTCTAATAGAGTTAGAGTTTCTTTTTGCGTAAGAATTTGTGCGACAAGTAATAATATACTTAGCTTAGAAGAGACAATGTTGACAATTGTTAGTTTGTTTATACTGCCACAGCTATCTAAATATTAAAGAGATAGATATAACATATTATCAAGAAGCTATCAAATGCTTATTGATTCTGAAGATGAATCTTTTAACCAATAAAAATATTAAACAGTAATATGCATATCTATTTTATACGTTATTTTTTAACATATTGATTTTTGTTTTTACTTCACTAGCACTAAAAACGACGGTTTCCTTGTTTCAAAGTCGTTATAATTTTCTATGTACGTATCAACGTAAAAACGTTTTTTGTCCTGTTCTATTTTCCAAGCTCTAATTACCTGTCTCCTGAATCTAATGCTACTATATGACTAAATATTTTAAGTAAAATCATTATTTTACATTGTTCTAAAATTATTGTTCGCATATGTATAGCAAATTTACCTGCTATTAATGCATTTGAATGAATAATTCATGGCATGGCGTGTGATTTGTTCAGCGGTACCTTTTTCATTTGAATTAGACGTTTGGCTTCGACGAGTCGTAATGAATAATTTGGCAAATATCCTTTTGATCTTTTCTATTAAATTTAATTAACATTCCAACTTTTATGGTTGAAAAACCCTTTTTGAAGGTCCTACTTTCGCACTTTAATTTATTATGTCACTTAACAAAGAAAACGACATTTATTCACAATAATTAGTTTATTTTAGCCCTTACTATTATAATTTAAAACTAAAATCTCTTCCGTATATCAGGCGAACATATAAAATTACAATTAATAAGAATTTATAACCTATGTTAACAACTTTATATTACTTATAGATTATTCCTATTTTTCATCGTATTCCAACGATTAGGGTATATGTACAATACAAAGATAACCACGGAATAGATAAATAAGATAAAACATTATGATTAAGCAATCATACCTTATAGGAGAGTAGGTCAAGGTGACGACAGGCTCTGGTACAAAATTTGACTAAAGACTTTTTTAAGCTTATTTATTTATCTGTTTCGTGGTAAAACTATGCTTGCTAATGCTTTCGTATTTGCGCTGTATAGAAAGTAAATTGTTTTCTAACGTACATTTGTCTTTATATTTAAATTCATCAGTTTATAACGAACTCAATGTATCGTAGGGTGACTTAAACGAAATAATAGCGCAATGATTTATATACTTTGCTACTACAGATTTTGTTTCACACATATAAAGGTATTTTATTCTCGTTTATAATTAAATATCTTACATTATAATGTCGTACTTAAACGTAGAAATGTGACATTAGATAGAACTTAACGTAAACGCGAATATATTACGTTTAAATCCTTTAAATAAGAATGTTACGTTAAAAACCGAAATAAGATATTTAAAATGAGATGTTTATTCTAAGTTAACTAAAAAACATGGAAGCCATCCAGGGTTCTATGACATTATGTTTAATTTATTTAAATTTTGAAAACTTTTAATAATTTCGTCTTCACAACTGCATAAAATTGTATTGAAATTTTACAATGAAATAAAGTACTTGTATTTTTACTAAATATAATAAATAAATAGGCACTTGAATTAAAGTATTTTTATTAACCTTAAATTACAATTTACCTAAATTTGACATATTTACAGTATCTAAGAACTATTTTAAATAATAACCATTCCAACATCGACATTCGTAAACAAAGTCCTTTTTTAATTTGTAAATTAATCATTATCAGCCTTAAAGCCTTAAAAATAAACTAGGTCTAAATAATAAACAGTTAAATTCAATGTCCAAAATCTTTAAAATTCTGTGTGATTTTGTAATTCCATTCATATAAAAACAAACTAATATATTCCGTTTTACGCTGGTGGGGGAGAACATCACGCACTTTATATTTAATACTTATTTCTAAACTAAATAACAAATCCACATACCAACTTCTTTATTTACAGTACACTTGTATACAAATAATATTTTCAGTAATCAGTCTATAATATATATTTTCTTTAACTAAAATAGAAGGCATACCCTGTAATCTAAATAGCAATTCCAATATCAGTATTATGATTGAGATTGAGTTTTCGTACCACATAATTCGAAGTTTTCGACATCAGAGGTATATTGAAAAACTAATTAAATCTGTGAAAGTTGGCGTCATAATTATTGTTATGGGCTTATGTTTATATTATTCTGCAAAGTTGAAGGACTGGAAGTTGTTATTGGTATAACAGAGTAGCCTTGTAGGTATTAATAATGTTCTATAAATTAATATATGAACTCTAACAACATATATCACGTCATTTTCTTTTTCTTTAAATATTTACAGACCATCCCAGGCCTTACAATTTATTCTAATTACAAGCCCATTAAATCTAAGATAATTAGAAATAGAATAAATACTATACTAGTACTAAACTGACACCTTACACGAGAACCAAATAAATGAAAATGAGGAAATAACTCAGTCTGTTTTCCATGTCTTTTACAATTAAAAGGTTCAGTTTTATTAAAATAAAAGTTATGGCCTGCGATTTCCGTCAGTGGCTATGTAGGCTTAAAACTAATTTAAAATTTATTACACACAACAATACATACAATTAAATCACGAAAAAACGTCAAGCCATAACAAAGAACGTGGCGTTTCAATTATTTTCATACCGTAACGCGTCTTCGATCATCTTTTCTACTTTCACATACCTGAAAATAGAAAAGATGTGACTGTTTCTTTATATATATATATGTCGGATCAATGGCGTTCCTGTCAGCTGCCATTGTCATTATATGTCACAGAGCTTAAAAATTAACAACTAATATTATGCTAAAATGCAGTGTTGGCTTAGTGGTTTCAAGATGCAACTATCATCCCTGAGGTTCTGAACTCCGGCCTTGCACTAATGGACTTGCTGTGTGCTGTGTGCGAATCGAACCCTCAATTGTATGGTGAAGGAAAGCATTGTGAAGAAACCGGCTGCATATGTCAAATCCAAAAAGCGATGACATATTATGTCTGACATAGGGCTGATCACCTTGTCTATGAAATAAAAATGACCAAGAAGTCTCTGAGGGCAAGGGTTTAGTAGTATGTGTAAATTTTTTAATTAGATGCGTTTTATAATGGTTTTTTCCAGTGAAATTTAAAAAATTAAATTTTATTTTAAATTTTATTATTTAAATTTTATTTTGTTTGAAATGTTTTCACATTTAATATTATATTTGAGTTATGTTTATAAACATAATTATTAATAAAAACATCGTTAATAATTAACTTACTTAAATATTTATACAAATCTACAAAACAAGCATTATGAACAAACAAATTATTTTAAACCCTGATTTCTACATTTATATCTAATTTGAAGCTATCTTATTGATGTTTCCGTGTAATTTTGTAGTAAAAATTGTAAAAACGACTGCAGAACTAGAACAAGTATACAAGGTATACAAGTTTCAGTGGCGCCACCTGTAAAAGAAATATTATATTAAGTTTTACAAATTGTTAACATAACATTGGGTTCACAGTTGAAAAACAAAGCGGCTTAAACTCAAGTGACACTAAGTATAAATAAATATATGTACTTATTTATTACATAAATGTTATATTACCGAAGATTATATTAATTATTTGTAGCTTTAGGTTATAACTTCAGTAGTACTCATTACTAAATAACGAAGGCATATGCATATCATTCTCGGTGAAACAATTTCGAATCGGAAGGCACAGAAGAGTGATCAATTATTACAATAGAAATTAAAATTGAAGTCAAACAAACCAGACTCTTGTAATCTGTAGCACGACTACGCGAGAAATCCTACGACGTAGCATGACTATCGTGTAGCACTTTACGTCGCGAAGGCTCACATAAAATTCCAATATACCTGTCAAACTCCGTCCTAACGCTGAAACCGGGTTCGCGTTCCGTTCCCTCAGGACTACAGCGTGGCTTGCTGATTTCCACACGTCGAATATTGACGCTTCGCAACTGCAATAATATTATTCTATTCATATTGCATTCAAATTGGAACTCAGTGAAACATTTCACGCAGGGCGATAGGTGTACGCCGTGACTGAAATTATTTGAATTGAGATCAATAGGATTGAACTCTTATTGGTATTGTGTTGAATATTTGTTGTTTAATATTGACGTAATGTTTCAAATAGGTTTGTTAGTTCTGTTATTCTTATTCTAGTCACACAGAAACCTCACAATTTCCACACATACGGTTGTATGACCAAATAAACAAACAATGAAAAATCTCTTTTTAATCTTTATGGCATGAAACCTTATACAAAAAAGATAGATTTAGATATAATCGTTTTATATCTAAAATAAATATTATTTGTATATTGTTTGGATTGTTTGTTATAGTAGTTTTAAAGGAACGTTCCAATCCCATTCCATGAGTATAAAGGTTTTTATAAACATACATATTTTATAGATAGATTTCTATAAGGCTAAGTAGAACAATAGCAAAGCTAAGATAATAGTGATAAGATCTTACCGTATCATAAGCATAGGAAGAGGAGATAACACAGCTGTCTCGAGCTCCAAAGTAGACAAACTCGACGCATATCCGTTAGTAAAGTTCGTCACGTGGTTCGCCGTGAAACTCGGCACCTGCGGCAATTTACACCAATTAGCTTAAGTTTGGAATATACGCCACTTATAAACTCCTACAGTGCTTTAGCAGGGAGATTAGCAATCGAACATTTGGGATTGTTTGACTTATATATAGTTCTAAAATTCGCTACGATAAATTTCCCTTATTAAATTTCCCCTATTATTTAAATCCCGTTGACCCGTTAACCCGTAAGGTATTAGATTACGTAGCTGAATTCCATCACTCTTTAGGTCTCCTAATATATATTTTGATTGTTTCAACTCTGATGGCTAAAGGCATACTATCCTTTATTATTTAAAGCATCCCGTTGACCCAGGAACCGTCCAGTGTTTAACTAAATTGGTATTAAATGACGTAGCTGAGTTCCATCACTCATTAGGTATCATAATCTACACTTGGAATTGTTTAATCGACTTTCATGGCTAAGAGGATTTATTATTTAAAGTATACCGTTGACTCAAAAACTGTTTAGTAAGATTTTCAATAATTTAATTAGATACAAAAGTAAATATAAATTAACCAATAACATAGTATCCATAGAAACACAGAAAAGAAACAAAAAATCGTCAATGTGCTTAAACGTACCGGCGAAAAATTAAAAACCGCAGTTCGACCTCTGTTATACCTTACGTAACATTACATTTCCATTTTATTACGTTAAAAGTGTGCCAAGTATCATTAATTGTTAGAGCCTTAATTATGAGTCAGCGTAATTTTAATGTGGAATAATTCTCGAAAAAGCTGGTTTAATTACTCATGACATATACATTGACGTAATTTTAGTTATTTTTGTTGACATTAGACGATAACCGTGTTTATTCTGTATTTAAATTACTTTTGGGGTCGTTTCATACATTTTCTTAAATCATTATTTCGCGAATTTTTCACATAACACGATGTTTGACCGTGACCATGTTTAGGTACTATACTAATCTGTTTAAGTAATACATAAATTTAATTTTGCTTTCTATACCAGTGATAATTTTTACTTGATATATTTTACGGACAAGATAGTCCTTCGTCAAAGATTATTATCATTTATGAACGTCAAAAAAAATTACTGTTTCTAAACGGAATTTATACATACAGAACTAAATTAAGGTAAGCGAAGCTATAAACAGTAGGTACCGCAGATCCTAGACCTGCTGATTTTATTGCACAATGTCTCAATACGTTGAGAATAAATTAAACTCTGGTACAGGTTATTTTTTTTATTACCAAAGTGTTTTATTTACGTAATTAATATGTGGCAGCTAAGGTAAACATTGTCTTAAATTCGACTTAATATAAATGGTAATAATTAAACCTTTACAGGCCGGCAAAGCACTCGCGAGCTCTGAAAGTATTCATGGGCGGCATATTACCTAACATCAGGAGAGCCTCCTGTCCGTTTGCCCTCTGTTCTATAAAAAAAACACCTTTATTACTATAATAAACTCACCATTTGCTCATTGACGTACCACGTGATGTTAGCTGCGGGTAGCGAGGGTGGTGATGAGCAGTTCGCCTCAATGTGATCTCCTCCCACATATGTCATCCTATCCGATGTTATGTTCGGGCCGATTAACGGAGGCTCTATAACAATATAATTAATAGCTATATTATGGTACGAGATATACATATTATACTCTCATACGTATTAATAGACTCAAATAGTTACTCAGTGTTTTGTCTTTATCATTCTCGTATCAGCTACATAAATAAAATCGCAAAATATAAGCGCAAAACTGGAAGACAGCTGGACCAATAAGGGTATTTATTGCGGAAAATACAACAACCTATATGGGGTAGCATTTCAAAATGTTTCATATGTTGGTATGTACCTACTAAAGCAGGCTAAGGAAAAAACATAATGGGGCGACACACCGGCAGAGCTTCTCGCCGGGAGCTCGACCGAGAGGACCGAGAGAAGAGCCAGCCTGACACACCGTTACGTAGTTGTATTTAAAACACCGTTAATAGACGTGGCAACTGCTGCTGCTGTTTGTCTTTGTGCAATGAGTATTATAATTTTCTTCACGTTAACCATAAAAAAAATACAAAGCCATGGCGAGAGAGAGGGCACTATACACCGCAAAGAAATTGGAATTAGGACATAAAGTTAAATATCCAAAATTAATGATGAACGAGGTGTACAGGTCGCCTCGTTTTACTCGCGAGACCCTTTGACCGGCACAAAAAACCGACAGGCGACCGAGAGAGGCGAGACCAATGGGGAGGGACGACAGAGCCTACTGTACACTCGCACTTGGCCTGTCTCGGGGTGTCTCGACGAGTGTGTACAGCCACCATTAAGGCGAAACGAAGTTCGCGAGGGCAGCTAGTTTAAAATAGATAAACATGACCTATTAATGAGGTTAATAGTATATTGAAGAATATGAAGGTACCTAATCTATACATTAAATATGTATATTATGTAGTACAGATCACATCCGTTGTTTATTTTAATAATAAAAAAAAGTTAAAAAATTCTGTAGGTATATGATATAAACGTAATGGATGTTTAAATAAATATATAATATGGAGGAAGGATGTTGCACTGTTCCTTCAACCTAAGGGAAGGATCCTCCAACAGTCTAACCACTAGTCGGCGCTGGAAGGACTGGGGCTAAGGACGTGAAGTTCTCTATATCCGAAGCGGCCGGAATGAGTTCGTTAGCGCATTTCATATATGACAACATCGCAATGATTTAAGCGCAGATTGTAGTTATTGCTACAATAATATTCTCTTTAAACAATATTAATTAATGCCGTTTAGAAACCCGAAGGTAGCTAGATTCTTTGTCAGCCAGTTTTTTGGGATGGGTACACAATTGTGTCTAGCTCCGTGGCTACTTCACAAAAAACTTGTTAAAACTATTGAAAAGCCGATTTTGGCATCAATTATCTCAATCATGACCTAAACGAGGAAGCACAGAATCAGCACGTACAGTTTCATTTTAAAGGAAAATTTCAGTAAAAATCGGAAAATACAATGGCTTTAAACCTGGTTTAAACTTTGTAATCCCGTCGATTCGTTTATCTGGGAAGCACGTTTGCACGCAACTGTATTTTTCTTGTTTTTAAAACGGTCATCCCACTGTCGATAAAGACAATGCCTTGAAGCTATACATTTAAATTTTGCGATTCCAGTTTTCAATAAAATAAAGTTAAGGTCAATAAGGTGTTTATAGGGAATTATTGTATATCGATGTTAATTATATGATCTAAGTCTATAACATTATTTTAGTTAAAGCTTTATTTGTCTCTTTACACGTAAACACTTTTTGTCGTAAAGAAATAATAAATAAATATGTCTTTTAAATAAATTAAAACTAAACTAAAAGTAAACAAATGTTGTTTACGATGGTACCAATTGACAGGTATGCAATTATTGTGGGACCCGGGACTTAAACCCAAAATTCTCAAGACCATAAATACTAAACCACGGTATAGAAAAATATGTCTTCAAAAATATTATGTATATTGCGATTAATAACGATAATGATAATTAGCCAGATTATCATTATCGTCGTCTGACATTTGCATTTCATCTTAAAATAAGTCAGTGCGCACTTCCGGCGCAGGTGCCGATCAGGGAGCAACTGAACTCAACGATCGATCCAATTCACTACTGACGAATTGACTTTGACACATTGACAATTTACAACTTGTAAGATGTCTATGATATAGCATGGTGTTGACATTCTAATAAAACAAATAACACCGTGTTCTCTTATTATATTATCTTTGACTTATATAAATATTTATACTTAATAATAAATTGTCCAACTACATTGTGTTAATAATGACTTGATATATAACAGTGAAAAACACGAAACCAAAAAGGTCTTCATTATAACTTAAGTCTGACCAAACTCATCCTTCTTTCGTTCAGAAAAACGAACAAAATGTTTCTACTAAAACAAAATAAAGTTTCCCTAAGCATTTTCTCAACAAAGAAAACGAATAATTTCCATTCAAGAGTGGACTGTATTGAACGAATTCGCATGAATGAGTGGAATTGAATGAAATCGGACCTTTTAGTAAATTTGCGAACAAATAGGTTGGATATGAATTAAGTTGGGATAGTGATTAATTAATTAGTAACTACATTGTGTGTGGTTAAACACATGAATTAAAATTAGTTAAATGTAAAAGGATTTCTATCAAATCAATTAAACGATTGAAAAACACTGGGTACCATTAAATAATATCAACTCTCTTTCAATATTTTCTTGTTTCATTTTTAATCTGTTCGAATTAATGTAACTTTTATTTATTTGTTTTCCATTGTTATATGGTAGTAGTGTTATGCGGTAAGAATAATAAAAATTATTGTTATCACTTAATTAAAACTTTCCAGCAATAGTAGTCAGTGAGAAACTACCACATCAAGTTGATAATTATTTGATAAAGGGACTCCTTTTACTAATATATTTTAGTTATTATATTTTAAAGTTAGTTATTGTTTTTTTTTATTCTTTGTCTAATACAAATTAACGATTTTATATATCATAAATTGTTATAAAGATTATTATCTTGTCATCGCTTTTATCCAAATTTTGTCGTTTGACTTCACTATTTGATTTATATTATGACTTTAATTATGATTACAGTACAGTAAAATATTGCTATATCCAATACGTTTTAGGGTCTTTCAAGAAACCAGGCCGGCAACGCACTCGCGAGCCTACTGGCATTGAGTGTCCATGGGCGGCGTGTCACTAAACATCAGATGAGCGTACTGCCCGTTCGCAAAAAATAAATAAAAAATAAACATTCCGCCGGAGCTTTATATACTGAAACCAGACTTAAGTACAGACGTAGATCGGAGTTCAGGTAGGTAAGGTAGATTAGGTATTATAAATATATAAAATAGAATTAAAGACCAAAATTGTTAAGAGCCACGGTGTGTTTACAATCAACAAAATGTTCTATTCGAATTTTATATTTGAGGTAGATCGGTCTGATGAAAAATATATAAAATCTAAAGCGTATCGCACTGCTTGTCAAACCCGACAAAGGCTAGTTGAAAAACAAAAACAGATTGAAATCGAGCCGGCCCGTTTGTTTTCGGAGGTTCGACAAAATGCCAGCTGCGTCTGAATATGCAATATTTCACTTTTCTAATAAAAATGTTAGGTATGTGCGGTACTAGGAATTCAATAGTATTCAATGAAATTCAGATTTTGTCGGAAAAACTTGTTCATTAGTATGTTATTACTATTAAACTATTCCTTTAAGTATGTTCTTTATATCCAATATATCCTTATTGTGACTTGTGCAGACTTTTGAAACACTTCCAATAAAAAAAAATTGCATTGATTGGGTATTAGTGGTGGCCATACTCGTGCCGTTCTAAGAACGCAATGAACACTTGTCGTATTGTTCAGAAAAACTTTGGACAGCCGTATCTCAGCGCCAAATATTAATGCGCCAGATATAAAGAGCTAAGCATACATATATTATGAATTTAACTAACCCGGAAATGTATCCCATGCCTTCAGGATTTCAGTCCTTCATACACTGCGAGACATTAGGTCTAACACTAAGTTAGAATACAACTCTAACACTAAGATCACATACTCACAAATAAAAACTTGATTCAAATTAAGCATCCAGATTCTAAAAGTTTCCGTTTCAATATAACAAAATTTAATAAGCGAGCGAACATGAAATCAAAGGAAACCAAACAAATCGCGAAGCCCATTAAATCGAAACAAAATGAAAACGATTTAGTATGCACAAGTCATTCCGAACGAACGTAGAGCCAAGTAATTATTCATGTAAACACTGTTGATTTTCTTACGTTTTTTTCACTCGCAAATAGATTAAAAATTCTCGACGACGACAGGTGCCAGATTGTCACAGCATATAATTTCTTTTATAAACTTGTATTACTCAAAGATTTCTCTCACTTAACTTATTATGCAAATTATTGAATCTTGAATAGCAAATTAAATTTTTTTATTATTTAGGAATTAGGATCTTTTAAATTTCAACAATCCATATAGTCAAGACTCCTGTCAAGTTAGACGTTGGCAGTAACCAAGCGTTGGCTATTGGAACCTTGTTAGAAGTTGTAGTGAACCTTTATTTGGTACTATTCTATGTATATAACGTATTATTACAAGCCGTATGAGTTCTAAATTTCCCCAACATCGGATGATGATGATGATGGTTGGAGGTCTTCCACAGTACGTTTCACAAGGCATGTTTAAAAATCGATCGTACTCCTCCCTCAAAGGGCGGCAACGAACCCACTAAAAATGGGTGTCTATTGGCTGCGATGCCCTTTTTGGACGTCCCGCAAGCTCGTTTACCCCCTATTGTATAAAAAAAAACCAACTTCAAAACTTTTTTTTACATACCAACAACGACCATTTCCGATGCTTTGATGTCTGTATGAAATAGAGGTGCATCAGCCGACACCTCGCACTGGTACTCGCCAGTTAAAGTTCTATCCACTTCTGTTAGCACTACGCGATTTTGATCTGATCTTGCCACCTATAAACAATTACAATTAAATTATAACAAGGAGCTTCCTAATTGATTTATTCACTTCATATCCATTCTACTTAAAGATGACAGAAATACAAATACTAAAAACGCTAAGAAGCTACGATGCCATTAATTTTATTTTTTAAACACCCCTTACCTCCCTCCATTGGGGCATGGGGCAGACTTCTGCGTTTATTAAAATTATGTATTAAAACGAAAACGATTATTTTTTTGGCAGGAGGCGATACTAAATAGTCCCATCTCTTCTCTGGGAGGGTGAATAACCGAAGGGATACGGAAGGCGAGGCCTATGGCAAAGAACAGCCTGACAAAAACCTTTCTTAGCTAAAACCTATAAGGTAAATACAGAATTAACATTCAGTTTTTGTTTATATATATATTTTCAGTGAATAAATGCTTTATCGTATCTAATACTGGAGATCTAGTATATGTACTTTATAACTAAGGCGAAAGTTAATAGTTTAACTTAGTTTTTTAAAATCCAAAAAGTCGACCATATTGTAATACTATTATATATATTATATGTACTCACATCGACTTTGATCTCAGCAACGGGAAACACTTTAGTCGCAGGCGACTCCTTGGGCACGTACCGATAAAATTCTATCATATTTCTATACCATCGTATGGAGTAAAGCTGCGCTCCTTCTAACTCGTAAGTGCACATGAGTTCTACGTTCTGCCCCGTTAGTACTGCCTTCGGTACGTGAATTTGCAGGAACTTTAGCGTGCTGACTGTACCTGTAACAAGGATTTTGTAGCATTTTCATATTTATTTGTATAATTGACGTAATATAAAGTGATTTTTAATCCAAATTTTGTAGAACTGTACATAGGTAAAGTACATAGACGTAACATTAATTACTAACGAAACACACACACAGAAACATACAAAATAATAGTAAAAATAATCAAAAGAGGCAAAATAACAAATAATTAATAATCAATAAAAAAATAATAATATGTGTACATTGATAATAATTAAATATTCGTATGGCAATGAATATTTTATTTATTTGCAAGGAAGATATGTTTTTTTTTTTTTTTTTTTGAAAGGGATCTCGCTGTTGGCCTTTAGGGCCTTGACAGCTCAGCTCGGGCTGTTTTGGCGAGCGTAGCTCGACCAGAATGAGCGTTTTTCCCGCGACTAGCGCAAGGGCGTCTCCTGTGAGACTCGAACCTCGGCTTGGGCCGTCACGGGGTGGTTAATCGCCTGAAGGGCAGGACGGAAACTCACTGGAGTGAGCGAAGTGCGAAGTAAAGGTCCTCGCCTTCCCCGGTGAAGGCGGTTTTTAACCCTAATCTGTGTCTGAATACTTTGATTGTTATTATTGGCCGCGCGGGCGGCTTTTAATTTATTGTTTGCTACGGTAATTGGATCATCCGGATCCGTTAGTGTGTGTCGGGGCCTCCTATGACACTTTTTTGTCGGCGGGAAGGGATAATAGTTGATGCTTTTACGCACCAAAGGGTTGGGATGGTGTTTAGCCTTGTCGAAGTGGCGTGCGGACGCCAACTTCATCCATTGGGCTATGGTAGGGAGCTCCAGGTCGTGGTGGAGATCGACGTTTCTCACATAGAGGGGCGCCCCGGTCGCAACTCTCATGAATCGCATCTGAAGCGCCTGTAGCCGGTGGATAAGGGAGGGGGCACAATGCGCAAATACTACGCTAGCGTAAGTCATGCACGGTCGGATGCAAGCCTTGTACAATGTCACCTTGTGTCTAAGGGACATGTTACTCCTTTTGTTTAGGAGGAAATAGAGGCGAGAGAGGACGAAAGAGGCCTTCTTGCGAACGGCGGCTACATGCTTACTGAAAGACATGTCCCTATCGAGCGTTACTCCTAGATATTTGACGGATTTTTGCCACGGGATGGCTTGCCCGTATAGGATTACCTCTTTTTGAGGCGGAATTTTTCCCGAGCAAGCGAAGCACCGAGGTTACCCCTGGCAAAGAGAACTGCGACGCTTTTCTCGGGATTTATTTGGAAGCCCCATTTCCGAAACCATTCGCCTAGCGACGTGGTAGCGGTCTGGAGTCTGTCCACGATGACACCTCTGTCTTTGTGAGTGGTATAGAGAGCGGTGTCATCGGCATAGAGGGCTAGTTCCACGTTAGGAGCCCTAGGAATGTCGCCTGTAAACAGCGTGAAAAGAAGGGGCGAGAGGACCGAGCCTTGAGGGACTCCGGCCATGATGGGTCTAGGGGACGATAACGTCCCTTCAACACGATAGCGCATAGAGCGGTCGGACAAGAAGTTGTGTACTAAACGCACGAGTCTTAATGGCACTTGAAGGTGGTAGAGCTTGTAAACCAAGCCGTTGTGCCAGACCTTGTCGAAAGCCTTCGCTATGTCTAAGAAGAGCGCACCCGTGGCTCTCGGTCTCGTGGTGCTGTTGTTCAGCCCGGAAAGGATGTGCTCCGTGATTCGATGGACTTGGTGGACGCACGAGTGGCCTGGTCTAAAGCCAAACTGCTCATCGGGAATGAGCCCCTTTTCTAGGGCAAAGTCTAGGAGGCGCTTTTAACTACCTTCTCGAATAGCTTGCTTAGCGTGTTTAGAAGGCTGATAGGGCTGTAACTGGTGGGATTGTTACGGGGCTTGCCTGGTTTGTGAATACCAATTACAATGGCCTCTTTCCACTGCGCCGGGAAGGTGCAGTTTTCGAGAAGGCAATTGAATATGGCCACTAGTAAGCATATCAGATGGGGCGGGAGGCATCGTAAGACCTTGTTTGAGATGGCGTCGAGACCTGGTGATTTACGAGGCAGTGAACCCTTGATTAGAGTTTTGACCTCGGCGATCGACGTAGGAGGGAGCGGCTCGGGAGGGAGGGGCAGTGCGACTATGCGTTTGACTTCGCGGTTCACGTGCTCAACGTGCGCCGGGTCGCTATGGTCGAGATAAGGCGTGCACTGCTCCACTAGGTTTACGGCTAAGCACTCGGCTTTTTCGTCGTCATCGAATGCGTCAGGCTGGTTTGGACGTTTTAGCGGGGGCATGGAGGCCACCGTGTCAGTTTTTAGGGAACGCGCGAGAGACCAATAGGCCGTGTGCGAAGGTGACAATTCGCTGGTAAGACGGTCCCAGCGTTCGTTTCTAATTTCCCGTATGCGCTCTTTAACTCGGCGCTGCGCGGCGCGGAGTGCTCTACGGTTATCATCGGTCGGTGCCCTAGCGAAGGCGCGAGTCGCCGCGTTCTTCTCGGTCAGTAAGCGCCTTGCGTCCGGGGGAAGCTCCCAACGTTGAGTGAACTCATCTGGGACCTTCCGGGACGATTCGGCGACCTTGGTCTGAATGTAATTAGTGACCGAGGAGAGCGCGTCTAACGCGTGAGCGGACGAGACTAAATTGTCGGGGATGTTATTAAGGTCAGAGACTTCGACGGGCTTGAGGGCCTCGTCTAGTTTCTGCCAGTCGACAATGGACTTGTACCTCTTCTCTTGGGTGTTAGGAGGGCCGAATTCAAAATGAACCGGGAAGTGGTCAGAGTCTAATTCGTGTAGCACCTCTATGCTTCGCGGCTGCAGTGCCACGTTGCGTAGAATCGCCACATCTAGGACGTCCGTTGAGAGAAGACCGTTACAACTTATACCGCGACGAGTCGGTTGAATGGGGGCAATGACATTAAAATTGAGTACGTCAATAAGCCTACTGAGGGCTCGCCCATTAGGGTTTTGTTTTGAGCTATTCCAGTCCCCGTGCTTGCTATTCAGGTCCCCGGCCAGTAAGACCGAGGGGCCCAGTGCAAACAGGGTCCTAAGATCGCTCTCTAATATGTCCTTAGTGGGAGGGAGGTACACCGATGCGATGATAATCGGCTGATGACCGGTCATAGCCACGCGTAACACAGAGCACTCTATGTTGGTTAGGGAGGGCGGGTCTAGCGGTGAGCAGTGGAGCGCACGTCTATAATAAATGAGCGTACCGCCTTTCGCCGTAGGTCGGTCGTTTCGCACCGCGACGTAGTTCGCGAATCTAGGTGCGCGAACGCTGGGCTTTAGGAACGTTTCCTGTACTAGGAAAATATCAATTGGGTGACGAACGAGGAAATCCCGAACTAAATCTGACTGTGGCTTGAAACCGTTTGCGTTGAAAGTCACTACGGACAGTGATCGAGCCTTGACCCTAGACGTGGTCGTAGCTATTGGGGTGTGTTGAATCTAGAATTGCCGCACGGATTTAAGGAGCAGGGCGTGCTCGGTTATTACCTCCACCTTGGTGGACGCGCTTTTAGCGGACTTAAATGCTTCCGCGAATGCGACGAGTGCGTCTAAGTCTATAGCGCCTATTACGCTAAACGCAAGATTAAAAGCGTCGCGGACGTTGCCTGATTCCTCAGATGCCTTCACGGGAGGGCTGAGGGCTTTAGTGGGAGGGCTCGCATTTAATGTGGGCCTCTCTTTAAGGATGGAGGTTGGCGCAGGGACCTGGGAAGGCGCTGCGGTTGCCGATTTAGATGGCAGAGGCGGGAAGGCTTCTGTCGTGAGTTGGGGAGGGCCCTCCGTAGCGGGGGGCTTGGCCCAGGGACTAAATTCGGGAGGCGGGGCCGGTATGTATGTGGGCTTTGCTCCCATGCCACGACGGGCCGCATCGCGTCCCACCATGCGCCTAGCCGACGGCTTTTGCGCCTTGGGGGCTCTAGGGCAACCGCGATAATTCGCAGGGTGCCCATGTTGCCCGCAAAGCACACATGCCGGCGGCTCAGCGCACGGGAGTGTCCGCTTACAGTCCGAGGTGCCATGGTCGCCTAAACACTTGACGCACCGCGCCCTCGCAAAGCAGTTTCGGGCTGCGTGCCCGTAGAGTTGACAGCGATGACACTGCCGTGTAAAAGAGTGTTTGAGGGGAGTTTCAACCCCTCAACCCCGAGAGCTTACAGCACTCCCGAAGGTTAAAAATCTTTTTCCCACTCGGAGTAGGGTCTAAGACTACAAGTACCATATCGTACTCTTCTTTGGTGGTGCGGTTTAGCATACGGAATACATCCCTTACGGGGTATCCCTGCTCGGTCAGATCTGCTTGGACGACCCCGGAGTCTATTTCCTTCGGGATGCCCTTAATGACTACCCTAAGGACGCGCTCCTCGGGCAAGGGGAAAGTGTGACCTCCGATACCTTCGGAACGAAGGTAAGAGGTAAGGAACCGGTGGTGCTCAGGTGTGGACACCTGTATGCAAATGTTATCCCTCAAAGTTCGGGCTTTATAACTAATCGACTTAGTGTCGAGAAGCTTAGAAAGGGTGGGCCATACGCCCTTGTCCCTAACATAAACGGGCGGAGGGGTTTTGATGCGATCCGCGGGGGCGGAGGGCGCAGGTTTGTCCGATTTGTCCGATAACAACGAACTTAAATCCCTCTTCGGAGGGTTTGTCGGCTGAGTAGGCCTTTTCGCGGGTGGGCCGCCGTTAGCCGAACGCTTTTTCTTACGTCCGACGGTTTGGAATCCGTCGGATTCCGAGGATGAAGATAAAACGGCTTCGTCAACCGTTTCCGCCGGAGCGGATTGGGCCGACATTGCCGACAAAGGACGCGCTAAATCCGTCTCCCCATCGCTTGCGCTTCTCACTTCAGGGAGTGGTGAGCGCGAGCGCGAGCGAGCACGGGATTGGTCGGTTGATAAAATGCTATTTTTGCGCGGTGCCTTCGCGGAGGCATTTTTTCTCGTCTTACGCGGCGACGGAGACGGCGAACGGGGTGAGTCAGTGCACTCTGACTCGTAAAAAGCTTTAATAGCGTCAGGAAAACGCTCTTTTAAAAATGAAAATATTTTATTTAGATCGGGCGGTTGAACCTCGGACGCCATCCTGTAGGCGGGAAGCCAGACAGTTTGGCGGCGAGTGTGTACCTACGTCTAACGTGTGAGTACCTAAGCTGTGGTTTGCCCTAATATGTATGTGTCTCCGCTGGTGATAGCGGAGGTGAGGTTTGTCACAGACCTAACCAGCCCGCAGGAGTTTGGGTAAATAGAGCCCCTGCGGATGTGACAGGACCCGTCCAACAGTGGACCTGATTGAAGCCGGTTTCAAGAGAGTAGTTGGCGTGCCTACTCCCTAATAAGTGCCTACTAAGAGGCCCGGCTGCGCACAGGACTTGGAGGAAGCGGAGGGGCTGATTCGCGCCTTGAAAAAGGCACGGTGTATGCACCCCGGACAAAACACCCGCACAAGGCGTTAACCGTTCGATAACCGTTTGGCACCGTTAGGTGGCTATCGGACGGCCGCAGGTAAACCCGCGCTCATTAATTGCAGCCTTCAAACGCGATGTCCAATCACCGAAGACGCGAAGCGACCAATGAGAGGGCAGCGGGCAGCAAGGGCAGCGGTCGGACAGCGCGTGCGCACTGTACAGCGGCAAGCGGCGATGACTCACAGCGAGTGAGCGAGATGGCAGCAGGATGGCGCAGGAGCAGACGTCCGCACAGGTCGGCAGTCGATCGAAGAGTCTGATGGGAAGATATGTTCGATTCCTTACGATATTTAGCTTCACTGCAGATAATGTCAAATGCGCCTATAAAAAGAAAACAGCATGGTTGCGCCAGCGCACTTTTATTGGACGACCACCTGAGCAAACTTTGGTATGTCATTTTTTATAACAATGTATATATTTAATTCGTATTATGTATGGATTAAAATAAGCTAAGATAAAAAAACGGACCGTGTCAAAAATTAAAAAATAAATACAACTGCTATAATTTCAAATTAATAAGGCAACAAAAAACTTTAACTCATGAAATATAGAAAGTTTGAAAACACATCGGTACATTTTCACGATAACAATCCGTAAAACGTTGACAAAGAACTTAAAATCGTATCAAAAGTTTGACATTTTCGACTTGTTACACTTTACGATTTCGTGCTTCGAAAGGTAAAGTAAATATCGAGTTTATGATCCTCGTTAGAAGTTCGCTCGTAACGTTAAACGGCAGGTTATTATGGCTTCTCAAATCTTAATATTATTTCCAGTTATTATCGCCTCTTACTTAGTTCAAGTATACCCAGCCTCCGATACTTTTTATCAAGAAAAATCACTGTGAAATACACGGTCAATTTGTTATTCTAGTTTAATTATTGTAATAAACGTAAATTCATGTTGCATAAACTTTTAAATTAGCTTCAGAATAGAACTAGATTTAATTTTTAAAAAAAGTACTTAGAGACTACCAATATAGTTATCAAATTGGTTTGTATAAAAAAAAAATCAGCGGTGCTACAACCTCTTTAGGTCTTGGCCTCAGATTTCTGAATCTGTTTCATCATCATTTTTAAGACTATTAGGCAAGTAGGTGATCAGCCTCCAGTGACACATGACGTCGACTTTTTGGGTCTAAGACATGTCGGTTTCCTCACGATGTTTTCCTTCACTGTTCGAACAAATGTTAAATGCGCACATAGAAAGAAAGTCCATTGGTGCACTGCCGGGGATCGAACCTATGACCTCAGGTATGAGAGTCGCACGCTGAAGCCACTAGGCCAACACTTCCTTGAGATTGGTTTGTATATGCATCACAATAACTTCTAAACATTTTGTCAACAATAACATTATAGATAATGGTATAATAAAGGTAATTTTTATAACACTAATAATACCAAACAATAATTAATCAATAATTAATTATAAGCTATATAGTTAATTATAATTAAATTGCCCATAATTACGTATGTCTGTCTAATTATAGATTATTTTGGTATGAGCTTGTTTATATTACTTAATTATAGACTTTAAGGATTATAGTATGCGCGAGTCTTCACTTAAGACAAACACGTAACTATGTTGATCAGAAACCGAAAACTAAATGTATCGAAATAAATGAAATCATCCAATATAAAATGAAGGATACCTCGAATGTTCAATGACGCATTCAGAACGAAATAAATGTCAAATTCAATTGTTTAATTCTTTCTCCTTTGTTCGACAATTATAATCCATCTTAAATGACGCCTTTGTAAGTCGATTCTGAGCTTTTATTTTGGCAGTATTTATGTATGTTCACGTATATTTCATTATCTTCATTTTAAATAAAGAAAAATGTATAACTTCAAATGCATGTTTGCTATTAAGTTATTTTATTATTATTACTTGAATTTACGTTAACGGTATCAAAAATCAGACAGTTCGTTATACGAGTATGTATAATTAAGATTTTTTTTTTAATTTTGTGCGTTCTTTGACTCTGGTATACCAGCAATACGTTGTGTTTCAGTCGTCTTGACCCCCGTTTTACACCCCATATACCTATGAAACTTCATCAACTCAACTTCAACTTAAACTGCTTTGTACTGGTTCATCCACACTCAGTTATTTAAGCGCGTAAATAAACCAGTGCAAAGCAGTAAAAAATGAAGCCAATATTCCGTAAAAACCCGTACTAGACCAATATTTACATATTTCCAATACATTTGTCTTCATACTCATGTTTACGACGCTGTGGACAGCGCGGCCCACATTTTTATCGCATTAATACCAATAACACCCGGGAGATTAATTAATATGCCAACGAAAAACAGCTTTATGAAGATAATAATGGTTCAATTCCATACGGATATTACTGTTTATGTTTTTCGTTCTTTACGCTAGATTTTATCATGTATATTTCACATATAATTTTTTAACTGTAGTGTAGTTGCGGAACGGACCCATTACGGAATGCGCTATACTCGTAACGATGATTTTCATACATTTTCATTTTCATTTCCGTGGGAAACTCGGTCAACTCGCTAATCTCATATGTGACTCTTTCAACTCGCTCTCTCCGCTGGGCTCGTCTCCGCTTATGGTGGAAGCACATGTATGAAAATCATCGTTACGAGTATAACGGAGTCCGTAATGGGTCCGTTCCGCTCGCAGTGGAAGGCGGGCATTAATCTCTTTCGGCTGCCTGAGTTCGTGGATGAAATACATAAGGCAAGATGTTTCCCGGTGGTAATTTATTAGTTTATAATGCCTATATTTTTTAAATTGTTCTATTACGTTAGCAACAAACGTTTTATAAACCTATATATATCCAGAGACCCGATATTTTCAGCAGTTTTCACGATTTCAACGCACTCAAAACAGTGTTGTTCTACGTCGCCAGATAAAAGCGTTTTAAATCTTCAAATTTATGGTTTGTTTGTTAAAACCGATTCGTATTTGTGTAGAGGCATTATTTAATATGGCAGAGAGGTTTATGCACGCTCACGGGCTTGGGTCGGTAATGTTTACAGATTTCTTACATGAATAAATGTATCAGACTCGAGATGGTTATCATAGTTTCAATATTATTACACGGTGTACGTTTTACGTGAATATAAAATACAAATAAATTAATCTAACAAACAAGTCTTGTGCAAGTTTTTGAGAGCGCTGTAGGCCGCGCTAGAGTTAGTGAAATACGCAAGACATTGCTGATTTATTCTAGATTGTAAGACTTACTTTTTAATAAGTTTTTTATATTAAAGAGAAACTATTAAGGTACTAACATGTCGTCTTTCCTTATTTCTCTTACTATACTACTTTAAACTCAAACTCAAAATATCTTTATTTATGTAGGTAAACAAATACTAGGTACTTATTAAGAGCCTTTTCAAGCGGTATAAATTAATTGTAAATTTACAATTACTACCAGTTCGCAAGTCAAGGGCCTAGAGCGGGTAAGAAGAACTGGCAAGAAGCTTTCCGCCACTCTTTTTAATGCGCCTAAGTATTGTCATACATCATATTGTTTGTCATTAACTGTTTTGCGAGCAAATCAATCCCAAGGAAGTTTTTAGGATCATTTTTTTAAGCCTATTCCTCGGAAATTTATAAAAAGCTTCCTATTGAATTAATTTTCGTTTAACGGTAGGGCTTTGACAATTTATTTCAAACAAGTAATAATTCGAATCTAATTTCGCTTTATAATGGGAGTATTGATTTGTAAAAACGAATACAATTTACCAATATAAGGTCTAGCTTGTTTCCTTCTGTTCTTCTTTAGTACACTACTAGAATCGTAATACTCTAAATCATGAACCTTTGAGACAAACCTATACCAACTGTGCCATGGAGACACATATTAGTTTGGAAAGTAGAATAAAATCCCTCTATTCTCTTGGACAAGCTTATCTATACGGAAAAACAAAACTTTTGGCAATGAAGTTGGTATCGATATACGAAACTTGCAACATCGTATACCATCCAAAACAGACAATCTGTATAGTTTTATCAAAAACTCGTTTTTTGGGCTAATGAACTCACAATACAATGATATATTGCCTACTGTAATGATATATAGACTCAACACTGCGGTTGCTTGATTGCATTCATAATTTTATATTAAGATAAGTTTATTCAGATCTTTTGTTTACTCTTAAGTTTTATAGTGTTTTATATGTCTCTCTGTTTATTAGATTATTAGTTTTAATAATTAGTTTTAGAGTAAGTCCCACCAATAAGATGGGATAACAGTGGATATATGACTCTTACATTTCCTTCCTGTTTGATTTTGGTTTGGTGCTAATCCAGAAATATTGTTGACATTTATTCATATGTAAAAACGTTTCCGATTGAACGCGAGGTGAAAATTTATTCAACAAGTACAAAATGATCATTTTAATGTGCGTTTTTATATTATTAATAACGTTAACTTTAGAAAAAATGCTTACGCTTTATATTCATAAAGAAATATTGAACACAAACCTTCAAGACTTACACAAAACTGGTTGAACGGAAAAATTAATTGAATAGACTTTTTCAATTAAAATAAATCACTAAATAAGCCTTTGACCGCATTTCACGGAGAAATTAAATACTTTATTGGCATGAAATGCTTCAAAGTAACGACGCTTTGAGCAATTTTCTTTCAATATACTTTTTTATTCCGAATGTAAATTGTACTGTAGACATTTGCTATTGAGAAAATTATTCCTAGAATGCTTTAATATGTTTTTATTATATTTAATTACGAAGAGGACAAAATAGTGAATATAAAATTGACGAAGCGATGATCAATTTTAAACAAAACCACATATACTATCTTTGGCATACAATTTTATCGACTAATCTAAGTCTGTAGACTCATTCAAAGTCTAGAGTAGAGATATTGTTGACCATTCACAAAGGAAGCTCTCTACCATTTTATCTTTCGCTTTATATTCTTACAAGTGGATTTTTTATGAAATTTATGATGAAATAATTGCGAAAATGTTTTTTCAAAAAATTTATTTGCATATTAATATTATAATTATTAAGCTAATGATTTAAATAATTTTAAACGACTATTTTGGCCTAGTGGCTTCAGCGTGCAACACTCATCCATGAGGTCGTAAGTTGGATCCCTGGCTGTGTACCAATGGATATTCTGTATATGTGTCTAATATAATAAGTTTGGCGTGACGTTATTGACGATTGCCTATGGTTCATGTTATATTTTGAGAGATGGAAATTATTTTATTTTTTCATGATGTTAATAAAGAACAATGTATCTTTTTATCATTGAGTAACATTGGCTTGTATAAAATATAATTTTTATTAATACAATATCTCAAAAGGAAGCGATTACTCGGAAAATAAAATAAATTAAAGATCCATCTCAGTATTCCAAGTCAGTGAGATAGCACATCCAAG